CCCATGCAGGGCTCAATCCCAGGCCCCTGAGATCATGACCTGAGCCAAAGGCAGATGCTTAACTGACTGAGCCACCAAAGCGCCCCAAAGAGGGACATTTTATAGTGATAAAAAGTTCAAATCATCAGGAAGAGATAACATTATAAATGTACATGTATATAACCAGAAAGCCTCAAATACATGAAACAAAACCGACAGAATTAAAGGATGAAATAGTAAGTCAGAAATAATAGTTGGAGATGACAATTCCCACTTTTGATAATGGATAGCAAAGCAACAAAGAAGTAGAAGATTTGACTAGAACTATCAACCATGTGGGCCTAACAAAAATCTATAGAGCATTTCACCCAACAACAGCTGAATACTTCTTCCCAAGCACTCATGACATATTCTTCAGGATACAGTATATTCTAAGATGAGCCTCAATAAATTTAAAAGGATTGAAGTCATACAAAGAATGTTTTTTGACCAAAATGGAACAAAATTAGAAATCAGTAACAGAAGACAACTTGGGAAATTCACAAATATGTAGAAATTAAACAACATACTTCTAAATGGCCAGTGGACCAATGAAGAGATCACATGGGAAATTAGAAAATACTTTGAGATGAATGTGAAAGAAACACAGCATACCAAGAATTATGGGATGCACCAAATGCAGTGATGAGAGAAAAATGTGTAGCTGCAAATGGTATACATTAAAAAAAAATCTCCTATAACTTAACATTCTAAATTTAAAAAAGAGAAAGTTCAGAGCCAAATAAACCCATAGCAGGCAGAAGTAAGGGGATGTTAAAGATTAGAGCAGAAGTAAAAGCAACGTAGGACAGAAAAACAATAGAGAAAAAAAAAAAAACCAAGTGGGGTTCTTTTAAAAATCAACAAAATTGGAGGCACCTGGGTTTCTCAGTCAGTTAAGGGGCTGCCTTTGGCTCACGTCATGATCCCAGAGTCCTGCTCAGCATGGAGCCTGCTTCTGCCCCTCCCCCTGCTCATTCTTTCTCTCTCTCTCTCAAATAAATAAATGAATTCTTTTAAAAAAATAAGAAAAATAAAAATCAACAAAATTGACAATGTGTAGCTAGACTGACCAAGAAAAAAAGGGAAAAGACAGATTATTAAAATCAGGAATGTAAGAAGGACATCACTGCCTCGCTTATAGAAGCAAACAGGGAATACTGTGAACCAGAACTAGATATGCCACCTAGATGAAATGTACAACTTCCTAGGAAGATACAAACTTCAGGAACTGACTCAAAAAGACTTAAGAAGAACTGGAAGATATGAATAGACCTATATAAGAAGCAAAGTGATTAAATTAGTAATTTAAAAACGTTTTGCAGTCAAAAGCCCAGGCTTTTGATTTCACTGGTGAACTCCATCAGATATTTAAAGAATTAATACCTATTCTTCACAAACTCTTCTGAAAAATATACGAGGGAATATCTCCACATTCATTGAGGCCAATGTTATCATGAGAGCAGAAGCACACAGAGGTATCACAAGAAAACTACAGACCAATATCCTTTATGCAAAAGTCTGGATTTGGCTGTGGGCCATAGTTTGACAATCCATGCTATAAAACAAACCAGTTTGTGATAAAACAGCAAAATGCGTAAAAGTGTGTATGTGTATGTGTGGGATCAGTAATTCTTTTTTTTTTAAGATTTTATTTATTTATTTGACAGAGAGAGACACAGCGAGAGAGGGAACACAAGCAGGGGGAGTGGGAGAGGGAGAAGCAGGCTTCCCGCCGAGCAGGGAGCCCGATGCGGGGCTCGATCCCAGGACCCTGGGATCATGACCTGAGCCGAAGGCAGACGCTTAACGACTGAGCCACCCAGGCGGCCCATGATCAGTAATTCTTGATTCAATAACTCTTATTGAAGTTAGAGTAAATTTTTTGTGTCATTGGTCCAGTACTTGCATGATTGTATGACTTAGTGAGTTGTGTAGATTGAGGCATTATTATTTTCCAGCTCCCCAGGTGATTCCACAGGGCAGGTGTGTTTGAGTACCAGGATGTTAATTAAACCAGTGCTTTTCACACTTCAGTGTGCATATTCATCACCTAGGATCTTGTTAAAAATGTGGATTCTGATTCAGTAGTTCTAGAATGGGGTTTCAAATTTTGCATTTGTATCACATGCTCAAATGAGGCTGACACTTCTGGTTCATAGACCACATTTTGAGTAGCAAGGCACTCATACTGGTTTTTGTAGCCTGGGATGTCTAGATCCTGCCCCAAGAGATTCTAGTGTACATGTTCTGAGATGTGGCCTGTGCCTCAAGATTTTTAAAAGCTCCATAGGTGACTCTAATGGCAGAAAAGCTTAAGAACCTCTGCTAAAGTTCATGGTGTTTTTATAAATTTTAATTTTTATATTATCAGTAGCTCTAATATGGTTCTTTTTTCTATTTCTCACCCCATTCTACACCTCTTCATGTCAAAACATCCATATATATGGTGAGAATCAGAGCGAGGTCTTTATCCTTTTGCTCTTATCCATCTCTGAGGAGTGAAAAGTAGTTCAAGATGGAAAGAGAAGTATCAGGAAAACTGGATTTGGGAAGAATAAGCAAAACGTGTTCTAGGAGGCCATTTAAAAGGAAAGCTGGTTTAGACAAAATAGGAGGATTACCACAGAAAGTTGTCACAGTAAAACTCACTTCTCGCCCTGAGCTTGGGGCAGCCTAAACACAGTTCTTCCTTGCTGAGTCCTGGTCGTGCCCAAAGTTCAAAGAAGCCACAGAAGATTGTTTTCTTCCCTTCTCAGTATGCAAGGTGACATAGTTAGCTAAATTAAATAATGTATCCAAATTCACCCAAGATGAGTGGCTAAACTGGGATGTGAACCCAGGCAATCTGAGGTTAAGAAACCATTACAGCAAAATGCCTCTCCAAAACAGGAAAGTAAGAAAGATCCTCAGTGAACTGATAGTTTTAAACACACAAATAGATGCTTGCCCTGTGCTTCCTCATATCTATGGGACGGGTACATATTAAAATATATAAATAAATATGTAAAATCTGAGACAAACCCAGAGAGAGGAGAAGTCCTCAAAGTAGGCAGAGAAAGAAATAGTGAAAAGACCAAGTTTGACTAGGAAGAATAAAGGGTAATAACATTTTCTGGAAACTAAAGGGCCATAATCCTCATTTTTAAAAAGTATTAAAGCACAGTCATGGGAAAATGTGAAAGCAGATTACTGCTTAGCTAAAATTCATATTTTACCAAATACTTCAAAGCAATCTGTAGCTTTAAAGAGATCAAGCTACCCATGTGTCTTTGAATATAGGATACAAAATCCATAAATTTTAAATTTTGATCTTTGTAAAGTACACATGGTGCAGAAGAAACAAAATGTTTTGAGTATTTTTTCCCAGACATGAACAGCCTTAAAGACTTACATGGGTACAGATTTCATCCGGTCAGAGAGTGGACTGAGAGAGGGGACGAGTTGTTAAAGGGAAGCAGAAAAAAAAAAAAAAAAAAAACATAGAGAAGCATCTATCATTTCCTTGGAAAATCTTTTTACTAAGAAATAATTTCTTTCTACCCATAGCCATGAAGACAAGGTAATAGGCTAACTCCTCTGCACATCTTGAAAGGAGCAACCTGAAACCACACTTATATCAGGAACAGGCTGATTTGGGGACACTGGGCATGGGCACACATGGTCACAGTCTGGAATGAGGTAATGGTCAAGGTGGGGCCAGTAGCCCTCTGGGAGTTGTAACACCTCAACCCATCCTCTAATGGTAGCTGCCCAGGGCATGGGGCTGACTGTGCCACACTCTCTGGTAAGCTTATCCAGTCCCATGACCTCAACACCATCTGTGACTGATGTCTCTTTTATGTTTATTTCTAAACCTGACATCCCACCTGAGCTCCAGATTCATTTTTCTGACTACCTGCATGACAGTTCCACTTGCATATCTAATAGGCATCTCAGATTTTACATGACATGCCTTCCCTACCCCTCAAATTAATAACTAAGCATTACCATCAACTCAGGTGTTCAAGTACAAACACCTAAATTATTTTCCTCATTTCTCATTCTTCACCTGTGGTCCCTGAGCAAATCTTGTTGATTCATCCAAATCCAACTAGAATTTTGTTGTCTCCTTTTCTTTAGCTTTCACTCCAGTTCAGCCACCAGAGTCTCTCATTGGATCTGCTACAGTATCTCCTGATTGGCCTCCCAGCTTCAACTCTTGCCCACCCGCTACATTTGACAAAGCAGTCAGACTCAGTGGCTTAACATTCAGGGGGATTTATTCTACTTCATATTCAGTATCACAAATTTGAGCTTCAACCTTGACCTTGTATTTTTCAGCCGTTCTAATAATGTAGTTTGGGGTTTTGGATACTCCTGCTACATTAATGGAAGAAAGGGTACAATTGAAATTGTATTTGGATATTTTGTAAGGGCAATATGCATGTCTAGCAGGGTGACCAACCCTGTCTATGGGAAGCCAGCCTAAGGCTCAGTTACACTGTTACTGTTGCCCAGGGCAAGCTTGTCAAAGAAATACTCTGCCATTCCTGCTTCTAAGACCCCCATGTTGCTACCCAGAAGCAACAATTGTTAATATTTGCATATTTTAGTAAGCTAAAAGTTTTCAAGTGAAGTTGAAGACTCCCTTTAATACCAGCCTAATCCCATTCTTCACTTTTTCCATAGGGACAACCACTGTTGTGAATTCTAGACCATGTTCTTTTATACTTTTACCGTACATATTCACCCACTGACACCCAGGGCCCCAGACCACCCACCTCACCTCACCCCACCACCTCCCTGCCCCCACATCGTTTATAAAGGGAAAATTGATTTGTGTTTTCCAGGGTCCCATGGAATACCTTCTCCCTCCATCTCCCGAGATCCTGAGCTGCATGTGGATGGGGTTGGGTGGATAGAGAGACTCCTGGATACCTGTTTTAAAACCTAAAAGGCGAAAGATTGGCACGCGAATCAACCAGAAACCTTTCTTTAAGAACCAAATAACTTTATTGAAACCAAATTAACTTTATTTATGGCAGAACTGGAAGAAAAAAACTGGAACGTTTCGCAAAGGCGATGCTGCAGTATGCGTGCTCGGCATGGTGATCAGGGAAAGTCGCCACGCACCCTGGGCTATAGGGGAACAGTCCCACCTCAGTTCTTTTCGTCGCCGTCGCCCAGGGTGAGCTTGTCAAAGAGGTACTCCGCCATGCCGTCTTCGGGAGCCCGCATCCTGCGCAGGCTGGTGACATAGCCCCCCAGCTCTTTGATGGACTTGACTTGCTCGTGCAGGTAGTGGCGCTCCAGGAAGTCGCACAGGTGGGCGTCGTTCTTGGCGGCGGCCAGCTGGTGCAGGTCGAGCAGGCACTGGTTCACGCTCTTCTCCAGGTGCAGGGCGCACTCCATGGCCCTCAGGCCGCTCTCCCAGTCGTCGCGGTCCGGCTTCTTGACGTCGCGCAGGCGGAGGCGGCCGCCGCGCTGGTTCTGCAGCTGCATCAGCTTCTCGGCGTGCTCGGTCTCCTCGCGGGCCTGGCGCAGGAAGAACTGGGCGAAGTTCTTCAAGGCCACGTCGTCGCGGTCGAAGTAGCAGGCCATGGACAGGTACACGCAGGAGGCGTAGAGCTCCAGGTTGATCTGGCTGTTGATGGCGGCCTCGCAGTCGGGGTGGTAGTTCTGGCGCACTTGGGAGAGCGGCGCGGTGGCCATGGCTGGCGGCCCGGGCACCAAGACGAAGGCGAAGGCGGCGCGCAATCGAGGGCTGCGCAGCGGGCAGCGGTGGGGCCGAAGGCGGTGGCGGCCTCGGAGATTTCCCAGTGTGAATGAAGAGAGAGGCCGGAGGCAGACAGGCTCCGTGCCAGGTGGCAACAGCTCTGAGATGGGGCCGGTAGTTGGAAACCGTTACCCAGAAGTGGTGGGGGAGGGGGAGGGAGGATCCGTTATGTGGGGGAGGGGGAGAAGGAAGTGAAGGATGAAAGAAGGGGGCGGGCCACAAGCACTGGGTTCAGGTTCTGTCAGAGCCTGCATAAGAGAGGGAAACTGTGCTGAGTGCCTGGCTTCTAATGCGTTTTAAATTTTGCATCAATTTTTCTAGGTTGCAAGAAGTTTATCTTATTCTTAATTGTTCTATAGCAGCATTTCCTTATTTTATAAACTAATTTTCTTCCCTTAAAATTTTGAGACTATGGGGGTGCATGGGTGGCTCAGTTGTTAAGCATCTGCCTTCGGCTCAGGTCATGATCCCAGTGTCCTGGGATCAAGCCCCGCATCGGGCTCCCTGCTTGGCGGGAAGCCTGCTTCTCCCTCTCCCGCTCCCCCTGCTTGTGTTCCCTCTCTAGCTGTCTCTCTCTCTGTCAAATAAATAAATAAAAAATCTTAAAAAAAATTTTTTTGAGAATATGCATTTAAATTTTTTGGTGAAGTTCTCTTCTGTTTCCTGTATTATATCTGTTTTCCCCCCACAAATATTTCATTTGCTCATGATTTTCACTTTTAATTTTGTCAAATATCTGCCAAACCTTTGTTTGCTTATATTTAGGAATAAATGGCTTGTTTAATTAGCCTAGGTAATTAGCAAAGATCTGATCTGTAGTTGTGATGTTCATTTCACCAATATGCTTCTCAGAATGAAAGGGCAGGGTGTGTCACTTATTCAATAGTTTTCTCCTTTGTGGCTATAAAGCATGGAGCTTGGATAGGGACCCTCCCTGTTACCAAAATAAATATATTTTTGACATTGGAAGAGTAATGTTTTTTCCTTCTGGGTAGATATGTCCTGGTGTTTCTCTCCTGTGAAGATCTGTAGTTGTCTTAAGCTCATTCACTCTCTTTGGAGTGTAGTTTTGGGAGATTAAAGGTGTCAGATGATACAGGTGCTTACTTCTCATTTTAAGTGAGAGGTGGGGAGGGTCAGAGCAGGACAGGAAAATTAGATCTGTTGTTCATAGACTAACTCATCTCACAGCTGACCCTGGAGCCTCTGCACTGCTGCAATTTCATTTACTCTGGCATTAGAGTTTCTCTGAATATGACCAGGTTTTCTATGGCAGGTGTTGCAACTTCTCTGAATTAGCCAATCTAATAGCCTCTTCTCCTATTTTTCTAGAATTCCTCACAATTTTTGGTCTCCTAATGGCACCCTTTCTAGTGTGTGTGTGTAGATAATTTTTGTGTTTAGTTCACCACCATGATTCAATTATCTTCTTCAAAAGCCATTTAAAAATGAAACTCTACTTTCTGAATAAGCAGTGTTTCTACACAATTCAAAAACCACAGAGTTTCGTCTGCAGGCAACCATTGGTATTATTTGTGATAATCAGTAGGAGAAAAAGAATGAAAAAGAAGAAATCATACTTATATTAAGAAAAATCATAGGGTCAGAGTTCAGAAAGTTTAGAAACATCCCATAGAACATTTTTTAAGTGTACCTAGACCATTTACTAAGACAGACCATATTCTAGCCCACAACACAGATCTCAATAAATATAAAATTACTCATATCATGAATAATATGTTCTCTGATCACAACAAAACTGGATTAGAACTTATTAACCTAAAGATATCTGAAAAACATTTAAATATTCAAAAGTTGATAATACATTTCCAAACAACCTAAAGGTCAAAGAAGAGATCAAAGGGAAATTAGAAATTATTTGGACTTGAGTGAAAACAAAAGAGCATATCAACATTGTGACATGTAGCTAAAGCAGTGTTTGCATGCTAATTTCTGAAAGCTTTAAAAAAATTCTTATATTAGAAAATAAAGAAAGGTTTCAAATCCATTATTTAACCTTCTACCTTAAAAAGGAGAAAAAGAAGACCAAAATAAACCCAAGTCAAGTGGAAGGAAGGAAATTATAAAGATATGAGCAGAGTTTGTTTTTATACATATGTTAAAATGAGTAAGTTATGAGTTAAACTGTTTCAGTAAATTGAGGAAAATTGGGTCCTAATGTTTAGGAAGGTTGCTCAGTATACTGGAGATTCCCCAAAGTAAGATGACCTGAGCATAAGGAGTAATTTTATAAAGAGGTTGAAAGAATAAGGTTGTGAAAAGAGGGAGAAATCTCTGGTCACTGACCAGAGGTAGCAGCTAAAACAGGAGTCTGGGTCTAGGGAAAACTCCTCAAGAGGAAGATATTTAATCATTTCAGATTCAGAGACAGGTAGAAATGATTTTAAATTTTAGCTCTTTCATGTTGTAGAAATGTGATTTTTATCATATTAATAAAGCTGTCTGAACAACAACAAAAAGATGAGCAGAAAATAGTGAAATAGAAAACATAACAAAAATAAATAAAAACAATAGGTCATATCAATGAAATCAAAGCAGGTTTTTTGAGAAAATTAAACAAACAAAAAAATAAATCTCTAGACAGACTAATCAGGAAAAAAAGAGAGAGAGAAGACAAAAATTACCAGTTTCAGGAAAGAGAGAGGAGATATTACTACAGATTATATACTCATTCAAAGGATGATGAGGGAATATAATTGCTATATAGATATATATTTTGATTTTTCATCCCCAGTTCCTCATCAGAGGTTCTAAAACCTTTGTAATTTTCTAAGCGATAAGAGCAGTAGAATCATCTTTGTTATAATAATTGGTTTTTTTCCCTAGCTCCTGAAACAATTCTGGAGTGATAAAGATGAAAGGACCATCTTTTGTTATTCATAACAAACTCCTTTCAACCACACCTGAATTTATGATAATGATGTGACTTTTGGAAAGCCCCTAGGGATGGAGGACTGTTTGCCAGAGGAACTAACAGTGTTATTTCAGCCCTTCCTCCTGACTTGAGGGGAGAAGGACTAGAGGTTAATTAACTGATTTAATTAATATGCCTAGGTAATAAGGCCACCATAAAAACCCTAATTGAAGAGATTCAGAAAGCTTCCAATTTGGTGAACACATGGAGGTCCCAGGAAGGTAAAAAACCTAGAGTTTCCATGCCCCTTCCCCTTATTCCTTGACCTATGTATCTCTTCCATCTGGCTGATTCTGAGTTGTGTCTTTTTATAATAAACGGTAATCTAGTAAGTAAACTGTTTTCCTGAATTCTATGAAACATTGTAGAAAATTATCAAAGCTGAAGAGGAAATCATGGGAACCTCCAGCTTAGATTTGCAATTAGTGCCTGAAGTGGTTGGTGGGGGAGCAGTCTTGTGGGATTGAGTCCTTAACCTGTGGGATCTGTGCTGATTCCAGGTAGTTAGTGTCCTAATTGAATTTTAGGACAGCTAATCGGTTTTTGGAAAAGTTGGAGAATTGGTTGGTATGGGGAAAACCTCCACATATTTGTTGTCAGAAGTATTCTCTTTAATAATGAACAACTTTATACCAATAAATTTAACAACATAGATGAAATTAAACTACAGGGTAATCTAATGTATGAACAGAGATACAAAACTCTTATATACAAAAGTTACCAAAACAAATCCACAGTGACCATGTTGTGTACATGTAGGTACTAATGTTCATTCAACAGGAAATATATACCCTAAATAGCCCTCTATCTTTAATTAAATTGAATTTTTAGTTAAAATATTCCCACAGAGAAAACTTCAGACCCACTGGCTTTACTGATGAATTTTGCTAAATATTTAAATAAGAAGCAAGTAAATCATACAAGCTCTTCTAGAAAATTAAAGAAGAAGGAATACTTCCCAGTATATCTTATGAGGCCTGCACTACCCTGATATGATAACCAGACAAAAAAATTACAAGAATGGTACAGACCAGTTTCCTTCATAAATATATGCACAAATAGGGCGACTGGGTGGCTCAGTCAGTTAAGCATCTGCCTTTGGCTCAGGTCATGATCCCAGGGTCCTGGGATGGAGTCCCACCTTGAGCTCTCTGCTCAGTGGGGAACCTGCTTCTCTCTCTCCCTCTGCCTGCTGCTCCCCCTGCTTGTACATGCTCTCTCTCTCTCTGTCTCTGACAAATAAACAAAATCTTTAAAAATATATATATATATATATATAGTCACAAATATTCTTAATAATGTGTTAGAAAATTGAATCCAATAATGTACAAAATAATGGCATAATATGACCAAGTGTGTTTCATCTCAGGAATGCAGGACTAGGTCAACTTTAAAAAAAACAATCAATGTAGTTTATCATATTAACGGACTAAAGAAGAAATGTCATATAAGCATCTCAATAGATTCATAAAAAGCATTTGACAAATTCAAATATCCATTTCTGCTTTAAAAAAAAAATCTTAGCATACTAGGAATAGGAGAAACTTTCTCAACCTGATATAGGGCTTCTTTGAAAAACCTACACCTAACATCATATTTAGTGGTGGAAGATTGAATGACTTCCACCCGAAGGTCAGCAGCAAAACAAGGATGTCCATTCTCATCACTCCTAATTAACACTGAGCTGGAGGTCCTAGCTTGTGAAATAAGGCCAGAAAAGGAAATAAAAGGCACACAAATTGGAAATGAAGAAATAAAACTGGCTCTACTTGCAGATAACTTAATTGTCTACATAGAAAATCTTGAAGTGTGTACAAAGAAGCTACTGAGACTAATAAATGAGTTTAATAAGATCTCAGGATATAAGGCCAATATGCAAAAATCCATCTTATTTTTGTATACTAGCAATGAACAATTGAATAGGAAAAAAATTAAAGTTCTGTTTACATTGTACCCAGAAGGCCCACATGAAATGCTTAGTTATAAATCATAGAAAATGTGTTAGGATTT